TTGTAAAGTGTTGAGTATATAGGAAATAGAAAAATTAATCGGACCATCAATCTTAATCAAAGAGAGATCAATCAATATCCAAGTAATAATAATATTAATAAAATTAAATCTACACAAGTATACATTATATATATCTTTCAAATATATTAATAAATTTAAATGCCTTTTCTGCTTTTTGAAAAAAAGAACCTTCAAAAAATGATCCTTCATTGTCTAACAGATGATGTAAAATCCGAGGATTGGATAGAAATTCGAGTATGTGCGATTTATCATTATTATCGTCATCATATTCATCTTATTCATCTTATTCAAATTATATACTTAATTTACCTATTTAACTATAGAAAAAAAGTCAAATAAAAAGAATTGTTGTTGTTGGAATCTCATCGTTTGGTGGAAGATTATTTGGTGTGTCAGGCAATCCTGTTAATGATGAAACCAAGAGAAACCTTTATGCTTTTAATAGAATATTTGGGGCTAAATGTGTAATTAATCCACGGTTTAGCAATTTGAAACAGTTTTTAACAGTTGACTTAACCAATGGAAATATCAAAGGAAGGCTTATCAAGTCCTTTGAAAGAAGTATAATTGCTTATTAATATATATTATCAATTATAAGTATAATATCTATAAATATTAATAATAATTTTCTTTTTAAAAATATAAATTTTTTTTTTCTAGGTAAAGAAAAAGATAAGATTGTAAGATTGTTATTAAGAACAGACAACATGCCCTTTTATGGATACAAAGTTCCAGCTTATCCAGTGAAAGAAAGACATTTGCCTGATAATTGGGTTCAAACTACTCTTGATTCTACTCCCACTAATCCCGCTAATGAATTCTTGTTTGTAGGATGCAAATCAGAACAGTATTGGGCACATATTGTCATAATTAACTATGACCAAGATGTCATTTGTAATGAACAGTTTAAATTTGATGGTCCATCTGCTAGTAATGATATTAGAGGGTAAATAAATTTTTTTTTTAAATTTTTATTATTAAAATATACAAAATTAATTATTTTTTTAAATAGATTGCATGAAATGAAAAGTGTAAAGGATATGCAAACCATTTTATTGTCTTTTATCACTAAACAAACAAAATTAGTTGGTCATTCCTTAGAAAGATATTTAAAATTATTAAAAGTGAGTACAAATTTATAGCTTTATGAATAAATATGTATATATATGCAATTAATAAAATTTCCATAATTACATTTAAAATTAGTACGCACACCCGCATATTATTGATACATCGATTCTATATCAAGATAATAATGAATTATATTCAAGACCAACATTAAGCTTTCTTAAAGCAACTTTGTATAAAATTACATTGGAAGTTACTAATACTCCAGAGGAAGAGGCAAATGCAATTCTTTCTTTATATAAATACACACTTGAACGAGGTAAATTTTCATTTATTCGATTTAAAATTAAACATTGTTTGCTAATATATATATGTGTGTGTGTGTGCGTGTGTGCGTGTGTGTGTAAAAATTAGGTCCTTATGTAGGAAAAAGCAAAGAATCTTTAATCAACGTTTTAAATATAAGTAATAGATCCACTGTATTCATTGATCATAGAGATAAATTTCAGTTATTTGGTGGTGGTTCAACTTCTAATGCAAATCTTGTTTTATGTACCAACGATGAAGAGGCACTTGTTTCTACTTATTTATGTTCCAAATGATAAATACTACATGTATTAATATAAGTTAATTTGATTTTAGATTGAAAAGAGCCTCCTTGAAAACATTAAAAGATCGAGTTTCGTATGGGCACATTTTCGAGATCTTAAAAGATTTCCAAATGGGGAAGACCAATTAAAATGTTTAAAAGCCATTAACGATAGAATAGATAATTTATATAATAAGCTATCTACGAACAGTGTTCTAATGGTCATTGGTGAACCGAAAAAAGAAAACAACGAAAAAGGGATCGCTTTTATTAGAGTTAAAAATTAGAAATTTTTTTTAAATAAATATAAAATTGGCTAATCGAAAGATTTATTGTTTATTATTTATTATTATTATTAAATAAATTTGAAAATTGGCAAAAAAATGGCAAAAAAAATGGGATAAATATTATTAATATTAATGAATTTTTGGTCTAGGTAGATTTTATTGTTTTGATTATCGATGTCATTGTGGGATTGTTTTAGAATAACCACTCGAGTTTAGTATTATTTTTTAAATTAACTCATTTAGACTATAAATGGTAAATCGCATACACGACATATTGATACATATAAACCCAAAAAAAAACAATATTGCATTATGTGAAATATTCAAATTTCATTCATTTCATATAGTTTATCGTTCGTATCTTATTCAATAGAGTATGCGAGTGAATAATAGATTAAATACATAAACAAATATAATAGGTTTATTTATAATGGATATAACTTCAGAAAAAGAAATTTTAGGTAACGATGACAATAATTTAGAACCTAAAGTAGAAATTGAAGAAATTGAAATTAAAACAATTGGTAGCGATAACAGTGATAATATTCATACTAGCGATGTTAGAAGTATTACTAGCAAGAACTTTTATGAAGAGCCATTAAAATTCAACACAGAAAATACAAATACTATTGAATTATTAGCATATAATTACAATGATAATAGAACAAAAGACGTTGTTAGCCCAACTCAAAAATCGTCTTGTATTCCACATAATGGAAAACTTGTAAAAAACATAATTTGTTCTCCAAATTTAAAATATATTGCAACCTTTAGTGAAGATGATAATTCAATCGTTGGATGGTTACATTTGGAAAATAATGGAACATTAGAGCCGGAAACATTTTATGATGGGTCACAACGAAATGGTTTTATAGCTTGTATTGAAACATTATCTGATGAAAAATATATTGTTTTTGAATCTAATCAAAGTCAATCTAATTTTGCTAATGAATATTGTAAGTAATAATAATGAAATTAATTTAATTTGTAAAAAATTTTTTCAGTGTTAAATTATAATTGACAAGTTTACTTATTTATTTATTTATTTTATTTTAGTTATATTATATTTAGCAAATAATAAATTTATCAAGTTATTGAACAATCAAAAAAAACCATTTAATTTCGAACGTCCAACATTTTTGACAAATGGTGATCTGTTTGTAATTTCATATGAGAATGATCAAATTTATTTATTTTCATTAGATCCAAACGAAGAAGTCATAACATGTAAAGCAGCATACAATATAAGCTTACCGAAATTAACAGCTTCTGATAATGTTGCAAAATATTTCATCATCTCAAATTCATATTTATTGATCAACAATGGCGATACAATGGCTTCGCAATGGGATTTAACAAAGATGGAATTTGAGTTTCAATATTTTTCAGAAATTTTACTACCAAATAATTACTATAGATATAATTCAAATGCTGCAATATTTAACAAGGATAAATCCTTATTAGCAGTTTATTTATATGTAGAAAAACAATTAATTATTTATTCAATACAATATGGAATCAAGTTAACAACATGTAGGTATCTATTTATTATTTATTTTATTTTTATTTTTACCATTCTCTTTTTTCTCTAAAATCTTTTTATTTTCTTCTCATAAATTATTTAGTTACATTTGGAAAAAGTAAATGTGATGATATGGCTTTCATATACACAAAAGATAACACAGAGCATTTATTTGTAGTATTACAAAATGAATATGCTGACATAGCCAACAATTATATATTAATGGATCCATATAATTTAGATAATTATACTGATATAAGTGAAATTTATAGAGAATATTTATTTAAAGATAATCTTCTAATTAAAAAACATCTACAGAAAATAGCAAATGATAAAATAATTAAAATATTAGATAATAATTCTATTTTTATAGAAAAACTTATACCAGAAGAAATGAAGTTTCCAAATTCACATCTAAAGAATTTCAACCACTTATTTTCATCATCAATTATAATGGAAAGCACTTGCGAAAGAGTTGGCAAATTATTAAATGACAACACTACAGATTTTTTTCCAAATGAATTCAAATTAAAATCAAATAACAATGAAATTAAATGGACAATAGATCATTACGATAAAGAATCTGGCTATTTAAAATTAAAACTTAAAGTAGAAAAATTGACATTATCATTTGTGGATGAATATGATTATTTTGAGCTGTGTACTCATTTCTTAATAAATTGTAAAGTATTAGAAAATGATGATTTATTATTAATCACAAGATTAGGTATAATGATATTTTCATCAAATTTCATTGCCAAGAAAATTTATTTAAAATACTTTTGGAATGATTATATTGAACAAGAAAAGTATTGGATGAGACATACAAGCAACAGCTATTATATTAAAAAAAGAATTTCCGAAGGTTTTGACAACTTTAAAAAAAAAATAAATAGGTTACCTTCACTTAATTATTATTATATCTTTGATAATTATAACCAAACTTATAGCGGTAAAGATAAAACTACAAGACAACCATTCAAAGACATGCTATCTGCAATATTAGAAGATATTTCTTCGTTTACAATTTTTGCTGACGAAATCTTAAAATCTGCTTTAGATAATCATAAAGGCTCAATAGTAGAACTAGTTTGTGATAAATGTCTAAGTTTTTTACAACAAAATCCTGAAATGAATATTGGATTAACAACATTTTTAGTAAATGAATTACCAAAATTAAGCAAGCATTATCCCGGGGTAGTAAAGAAATTTCTTGAGCAAACATCAATGTTGTTGGATCCTTCTTGTGATAAAATTTTTGTATCAAATTTACCAAGTCATTATGGATGCTGTTATGACATTGATTTATATAGAGATAATCTTTTTTGGAATCTATATTTTGTATTTCAAAGGAATTATTATAAATTTATGAAAATAGTTGGAAAGTGTTTTGACGAATATTCAATATTTTCAAACAATTATGGAAAATACTCTTTAAGTTTAGTTGTACCTTTACCAAAATTTACAAGTTATCCAAACGAATATTCATTCCGGAGAGAATTATTCTATAAACCTGAATCTAATACTTTTATTAAAATGAACAATAAAGAGTTATTTAAAATCATGAATGGTGAAGCTTTATTGGATTTTAAATGGCACAAGTTTGCTTTAAAATATTATTTAGGGATTTGGTTATATTTTATAATATTTTTTTTTTGTTTTTCATTTGTCACAACTTTAAGAGGTGATATAGATAAAGCTACAAGAAATACATTTTTGTCAATCTCAAGCATTCTTGGTTTTTCTCATTTAATAATTGAAATTAAAAGGTTTATGTGGAATCCAAAACATTATTTTTTTGATTTTTGGAATTATTTTGGTAAGAATTTTTGTTTTCTATATATATATCAATTATTTTTTAATACAACAAAATAATAATAATAATAATAATAATAATAATAATAACAAAATTAGATCTAGGTTCATATTTATTTCCAATCATTACATCTTTGTATTGGGTGATAAATGATAGTGCACCTACTTGGATGATATCGTTATCTAATTTATTATTGGATTTGAAATTCATGTTATTTTTAAGAGTTTTCAAATATTTTGGAAAATATTTTGCAATCATAATAGGTGTTGCAAAAAAAGTGTTTTCATTTCTAGTTATCTTATTTATAATAGTTTTTAGTTTTGCTCATGCATTGTTTATACAATTAAGACCAGAAGAGAACTATGATTTGGATACACCAATTTTAAATTCAGATAACAATAACCCTTGGAATATTGTATCAAGATATTATCAAATATTTTCAAATGGATCATTTGTTGACAATTCATTTATAATACAACAACCCGAAATAAACACTAACATGTTTGCTGAATTCTCTACATCAATGTTGGCTATGTACAAATTTCTCACAGGTAATTATATATATATATATATTTGTATTAATTAATAATTAACTAATAATTAATTTTTATTCTTTCCTTTAACTTTAAAGGTGATAATTCAGCTCTTTCATCAATATCATATGAACATGATGCATATTTAACATTGTTAATGGTAACCTTTTCATTCTTAATTGTGGTCTATCTGCTTAATCTATTCATTGGTTTGCTGAGTAATGCTATTGAGGAAAATAATACTAGAGAAGCATTCTTGGCTCAAAAAGCAAAGGTAATAATAATAATAACAACAATGATTCATTTTTCTTTTCCTCTATATAAATTTATGTTAATTAAAAAATTTTTTATAATGCATTAATTTAGATTATTTATGAGATAGAATTATTTTATTTGTTACCACATCAACGACGTTGGCGAACATGGTTTCCTGATTTGATGTAAGTTTTCATGCGTGTATATATGTGTGTATATGTATAATTATAAATTTTTATTTAATAATAATATTATCATCGTCATCATTAGATATTATAATGTTCCAGTTGAAGAAATTCATCAAAAAATTCGATCTATAGATAAAAATAAAGACAAACGTGAATATCCTCCTATAATCTCAGATAAATTACGTGAATTAGTAGGCATTCCTGTGCAAAAATATAAAAAGGATTTGTCAAAACAATATGAAGAAATCAAGAATGAATTTAAAAATTTACAAGTAAATCATGCAGAATTAAAGAATCAATTTGATGAATTGAAAAAAGAGTTAATTAAACAATTTGATATTAATAGTAAAT